TTCATGGGGTCTTCCAGGAACTCGTCCATGCCACAAGGAGGACCCGTTGGAGGCTTCCTGGAGCCCATTCCTCCATTCCCTCCATCCTTCCAAAGCAAGGCTGGGAAGGTGCCAATGGGGAGAAGCAGAGCATCAGCCTAGGCAGTCTCAGATTCTCTCTCAAGCTGTCTTAGCTTTTAACCTAATGTCTTATTCATCACCCAAGACCAAGACATGGGGGACTGATCTTTTATGGAGCAGGAAGTATCCTCAACACAGGTAAAACTTTAAATCTCTATATCTGTTCTCTCATTTCCTTTCCGGATTTCTCCCTACTCCTTCCCTTCCCATCTCGCAGGAACTGCCTTTATATCATAGAGTCATTGTCCACACTTTGGCTTTCACAATGACCTCCAAGCTTTGCTGTGAATATGTAAAAGAAGGCTTTTAGAATTAAGAAAACTCTAGTTAAAAGAAAAGAAAAGAAAAGAAAACGCTAGTCATTCAATAAAACATGGCCCTCATGATTACTTACTACTTTGATGAGGACTGAAAGCCAAGCTGTGTCCAAGGCAGTACCCACCACCCCTTAAATGAAGAAGGTATATGTGGCACAGAGAGGACAATGAGGGGGTAACATGATTTATAGGCATGAAAGATACATCTGTTTAATATTAACAAATATCCCCATTGCATTGTTAAGTATTTATTAAGTGTAAAAGGCTTTATATTCTTTGTCTCCCAAAATAATTTCAACAACACTTTTAGGGTTGTTATGCCCATTTTGTAGTTGAAGAAATTGAGCCTTAAAGAGGCTAAGGATTTGTGAGGATCACAAAGGCCAGAAAATGGTGGAGCTGAGCTTCAAATCCAGAAGACTGTCTTAATCAGACTTTTCAGTCTCAAAATCTTAAGAACTGTATAGTGGTCGCCATGATTATACTTGACTCTAAGTTGTTTGGATTTCTAGCAGAGAAGGGAAAAGTGTGGGCAGTGGCATTCTTCCTTTCTCTTAGCTCAGATACTTCCTTTTTTGTTTTTTTTTTAAGGTTTTACTGGGGAATTGGGGGAGGGGAACAGTGTTGGGGAATTGGGGAAGGGGTACAGCCAAGATGTTGTCCTTCAATCTTAGTTGTGGAGGGCTCAGCTAACTCAGCTCCAAGTCCAGTCACCATCCGGCCACCCGTCGGCAGCTCACGGCCACTCAGCTCACGGTGCCATGTTCAATCTTAGTTGTGGGTGGGTATAACCTACCATCCCATGCGGGAGTCAAATGGCAACCTTGTTGTTAAGAGCATGTGCTCTCACCAGCTGAGTCATCCTACCACCTGTTGGCAGCTCAGTGGCAACTCAGCGACAGCTCAGCTCGGGCGCAGCTCACTGGCCCATGTGGGAATCAAACCGGTGACCCTGTTGCTCAGAGCT